TGGAGGGACAGAGGGATGCAGGGATGCGGCTTCGTGTCCTTAAGGCAATTAAATATCGGGCGGGGGTTCTGTGTGTGTGCGCGGAACGCTGCGCGCACCGCGGAGGGAACCGCGCGCCTTCCCGAAAACGCGTGTTCCTCCCGCGCGGGACCCGCACCGGGGGTGCCCGGACCCTGCCCGCCCTGTCTCCCTCCTCCTCGGGGTCACCTTGCCCCGCTCGCCCCCATCCTCCTTCTCTTCAGCCTCCTGGATACTCTATCCATCCCCATCCCCTGCTTTTCCCCCCAGCTTGCCTCTCCCCGGGCATTTTCGGAGCCTGCCCTGGCTGTTTGCTGAGAGAACGTGACCGGTTTGTTAAAAACATCTTTTTAAAAACATCTTTCTTTCGCCCTTGGCGGCTCCTGCCCCGGTCGGTAAATACTTTTAGCGCTAAAAGCCGCGTTTTAGCCCCATTAGGCACCGGTGTTCCTGGTCCGCCTCATTAGCGAACACCTGGGAGACCACAGAGTGGTCACAGCGCTTAATTAGCCGCGAGGACACAGCACGGGCTCATTATGGGATGCGCGAGAGCCCGTTAGGAGATGCACGGAGGTGGTTTGTCCATCCGGAGATGGGGCGGCTTTGGGTCGGGTGTCGCTTTTTGCTCTGCGGTGCCGCTGATGCTGCTGTTTTGGGGTGGTTTTTTGTTTTATTTTTGCAGCATGGGCTTCCTACATGACCAACTCCCCGACCCTGATCGTGATGATCGGGCTCCCCGCCCGTGGCAAGACCTACATGTCCAAGAAGCTCACCCGCTACCTCAACTGGATCGGGGTGCCCACCAAAGGTGTGTGTGTGTGTGAGAATGTTTTTTTACCCCTTGCTGGGAGATGTCAGTGAAATTCCATCAGCCTTATGCCCTCCTCCTCTTCTGTTGTGTGTAAAGTGTTTAATTTAGGGGTGTACCGGCGCGAGGCGGTGAAGTCCTACAAGTCCTACGACTTCTTCAGGCACGACAACAAGGAAGCCATGGAAATCCGCAAGTGAGTTGGTTTGGGGGCTGGGCTGGGCTGGGGACACTCAGGTCTTGGCAGGCTCTGTGTTTGAGGAGCACAGAATAACATTTGGTGCCTGTGGAAGCAGGAGGGAACGGCACAGGGATCCTGCCAGAGGGGATGTGCGTGGGAGGGTTGTTGTTCACTTTGGGCTGCGAGTGTCAGGTGATGGAGCAGGTTCTAGATGCAGGTGCCTTGTGACCTCTGGGCCTCTTGGGAAGGTGCAGGGGTGGGAGAGAGGCGTTTAAATCCCTCCCTGGTGGTTCAGAGGCTTTGCTGTGGGAATGCTTTCCATGAGCTCTGACAATCCCTGTTTCTGTCCCACAGACAATGTGCCTTGGTGGCTCTGGAAGATGTGAAGGCTTATCTGCTGGAGGAGTGCGGGCAAATAGCTGTAAGATTCCTCTGCACCAAACAGAGTTTTCCACTGGAGTAGTTCAAAGCTGCTTGGGGTGTTTGGGGACCTGACTTGGGGCTGGTTTAAAAGTCTTATTTAAATTTGCTTATTGCTACTCGTTTTCTGACAGGTGTTTGATGCCACCAACACAACTCGAGAGCGACGGGACCTGATCTTAAATTTTGCTAAGGAAAATGCTTTCAAGGTGGTGCTCCTGTGTTTGATTTGTGGTTGCTGCACCCAGGGACACTGTGGCTCCCCGGGGCAGCAGCTCTCGAGTGGAGTGGTGTTCTTGCCTCTCTGAAATGTGCTTCCCTGCCTTCTCCCTAGGTGTTTTTTGTGGAGTCTGTCTGTGATGATCCGGAGGTCATTGCTGCCAATATCCTGGTGCGTGCTGCCTTTTCCAGGCTCAGCTGCTGTGGGAACTCAGTGCAAGGTCATGGGCTCCGGTGGCTTAGGGGGATTGTCTGCAAATGCCTCGCTCTTCCATGTCACCTTGGGAACAGGCAGCTGGGGTTTGCAGGTTTATAAAAAGCTAAAGGAGCCGTTATGTGAGAATGTGGAAATCAAATGAAGCTGAGGAATGTTTGACCTTGAAGTGTTATGTGTTGGTGAGGGAGGGCAAAGCTCACAGTGTGTCTGCCAGGGCCAAGCACTTCAGTGCCTTCAGAGTCCCTTTGTTTCCTCTCCAGGAGCAGGTTTTTCCTCAGGGCAGCGTCAAACAATGTGGATTTGTTGCAAAAGAGAAGAATAACCTTATTCAGCGTTGCTTTTGTTCCCTCTTGAGTTTGCTTTGCTCTCACAAAGCCACACTGTGTGTTGACCAGGAGGTGAAAGTTTCCAGCCCCGACTACCCAGAGAGACACCGAGAGAACGTGATGGACGATTTCCTGAAGAGGATAGAGTGCTACAAGGTCACCTACCAGCCTCTGGATCCCGATGCTGATGACAAGTAAGGAAATCCCTGGGCTGCATTTTGTGCTCGGGCACACGAGCTGCCTTGCTGTCTGTGGCTCAGGACACTCCAGTGTGTCTGCTGGAGCCTCTGCTCTCCCAAAGTGTGACTCTGTGAAGGTGATATCACCGGTCCCGAGTGATTTGAAAGGATTTTTTCTCTAGTGGGATCGCAGAATCACAGAAAGCTTTGGGTTGCAAGGCACCTTAAAGATCACCTTCCCCTATCCCAGGTTGCTCCGAGCCCTGTCCAATCTGGCCTTAAACACTTCCAGGGATGGGGCAGCCACAGCTTCTCTGGGCAACCTGTGCCAGGGCCCCACCACCCTCACAGGGAAGCATTTTGAAGCCCAGCAGTTCAGCGTCTCTCCTGTCTGCTGGCATGACCAGGGGCAGTGCTGGTGCCTTTCCTAGAGCACAAATAGCTGGGTTACACCCGCAGGTGGCACGTGCTTCGTTTGTAAAACCAGTCGTGTGGGTGTTCTTATTTTATGTTGACTCCAGAGATCTTTCCTTCATTAAAGTGATCAATGTGGGCCAGCGGTTCCTAGTAAACAGAGTCCAGGATTACATCCAGAGTAAAATCGTCTATTACCTAATGAACATTCATGTCCAGCCACGCACCATCTACCTTTGCCGACATGGTGAGAGTGAATATAACCTTGTTGGCAAGATTGGTGGGGATTCTGGTCTGTCACCTCGTGGGAAGCAGGTACGTGCCTGGCAGCACCTGGCTGCTGTGTCTGTGTTGTGTGAGCAGGGTCAGGGCCGGGCCCTGCGTCCCCCCCGGCGCGGGGCAGCCGGATCTTGCCGCGACCGCCACGGGCCCTTGAATTGATGCTTTTAACTACCCTGCCCTCCCTCCTGACCTCCCCTGAGCCTTCTGCTTCTCCCAGTTTTCCCAAGCGCTGAAGAAGTTCATCGAGGAGCAGGAGATTGTGGATCTGAAGGTGTGGACGAGCCAGCTGAAGAGGACGATCCAGACGGCCGAGTCCCTGGGGGTCCTGTACGAGCAGTGGAAGATTCTCAACGAGATTGATGCTGTGAGTGAAGTGCTGGGCAATCCCTTGGGCTTTTCTAGGTGGAAAATAACGTTTAAAAAACCAAATTAATCGTGATAAAATCACCTGTTTTCTGTTGGACCCCAGCCCTCGTGATGAGGTTTGGGATGATTTTGATGCTGTGAGTGAAGTGCTGGTCAATCCCTTTAGCTTTTCTAGGTGGAAAATAATGTAAAAACCCCAAATTAATCATGATAAAATCACCTGTTTTCTGCTTATTTATTTATATATCATGGACCCCAGCTGTCGTGATGAGGTTTGGGATGGTTTTGATGCTGTGAGTGAAGTGCTGGTCAATCCCTTTAGCTTTTCTAGGTGGAAAATAATGTTTAAAAACCCAAATTAATCATGATAAAATCACCTGTTTTCTGCTTATTTATTTATATATCATGGACCCCAGCCATGGTGATGAGGTTTGGGATGAGTTTGGTGCAGGGCTGACAGTGTTTGGAGCTGCCAGACCTTGCTGGGGATGTTCCAGGTGGTGTGGGGGAAGAAAATAACACTGAACATCCGAGGCATCTGTCACACCCTGCTGGGTGGGCAAAGGTTGCTGCTCCCACTCTGGTTCTCTCAGGAAATTGCAGGGTTGTTGCTGTGGAAGTAAAGGCTCATTTCCATCCCTGGCAAACGTGGGTTTTGAGGTAAAACCAAAACCCGTCCTCTTCAAACCACCCTGGCACACAGACTGAGAGCAGGGCTGTGTCTGATGCAACACCTGACATTTCCATCACACAAAAGGATCCCTGATCTCAGCCTCCTGCTTCTCCTTCCTTCCTCTTGGGTCGTTGGACCTCTATTGAAGTGAGGTTTGTGGTAACAAGTTTGTCTTCCCTCAGGGGGTCTGTGAAGAGATGACCTATGCAGAAATCGAAGCCAAGTATCCAGAAGAGTTTGCAATGAGGGATCAAGAGAAATATCTTTATCGCTATCCTGGAGGCGAGGTGAAAACCTTTGAGAAATAACAATAATACACAGTACAGTAAAACAAACACATGTGTGGAATTGAAAGATTTGACTCAATTTTAACTTTTTCTGCCGATATTTACGTGAGAAACCGAAAGCATTAGGATGCCTAGCTCTCTTTTTGAGGGAAGGTTTATTGATATCCACGCTGGGGTGTGCAGATGATGCTTCCAGTCAATTAATTGGGCTGCTTGCTGAGTCCTGGGATGCTCCCCTTGGACACAGAAGGGGTTTGGCCAAGGCCTGAATTGTCACTGAAAAACCATCTGGGGAAGGAAATGATTGTGGTTGTGGTCTGGAGTTTCTGGGTTTACTTCACAACCTGCTTAAATGAATCATTTGCTATTTTATTTGGGTTTTTTTCTTACTTCACTCCTTGAGTTACCAATAATCTGAATGCTCCCACAGTCTGAGGGCTCTGACACTAAGTTTCACCTTCTCCTGTTTGTTTGTTTTTTCTTTTAAACTATATTTACCATTCAGTTGATACTTTATCATCCAGTTGATACCTTAACTGATATTTTCCCGAAAGTGACACTGCTAATTGCCACTTCTGCTCTAACCCTCTGTTTACAAAACCCCCCTTGAAGAATTCCTGGTTTCTTTTCCAGTCCTACCAGGACTTGGTCCAACGCCTGGAGCCAGTAATTATGGAGCTGGAACGACAAGGCAACGTCCTCGTTATCTCCCACCAGGCAGTTATGAGGTGCCTGGTGGCTTATTTTCTTGACAAGAGTGCAGGTACAAAAATAAATGAATGATTCTGGGGGCTGGCTTCTCTCACTGCTTCCTTCACAGGGTTTTTGGGAGGGTGGCTTGTAATTGCTGGTTTGATTTCTTTTTTTTTTTTTCCACAAGGGATGAACTGCTTAAAAAAAGAAGGAAAGCAAATGTTTCAGAAATGCTTTAACCATTGCATTTCAGCAGTGCAGTGGTGGGAGAAATGCAGATTTTTTTTTTCTGCTGTTGGTTCTGGAGCTGTTTTCAGCAGTAGCACTCACAGAATGTGTAGGGGACTATTTTTTTTTTTTAATGTAAAGTTTTTTGTGATGGCTCAGTAGCCTGGAAGGGTTGGCAGGAGGAAATGCTGATCCCTTGCATGGCACACACACCTGGAGGTTACTTCCAGTCTGCTTCAAGCTCCTTTATGAAGCTCCAGTGAGTGGCACTAGAGCTCAATAAAACTTTTTAATGAGGTGGATAAGCTTCTAATAAGGTTTATAAACTTTTAAACCAGTTTCAAATGAAGCTCCTGTGGGTCCCTGGCAGCTCTTGCTGTGGTGATTTCCCACCCCTGTGCTGCTGGAGAGGTTTCCTCTGGCTGGAAGTGAAATCAGGGAATTGTTTAGGTTGGAAAAGAACTTTTAGATCATTGAGTTCGATCCTTAACCTGCCAATTATTGGAGGATCCTGAGCCAGCTGGGCCTCAAGGATGGCTGTACTTTGCCAGACTGGGCTACAGTGGTATTTCCAAGTATGATGTTTTTTATTTCTGTATCTCTCTCTGGTGTAGATGGGTGAATGTCTGGGTACCATCCACACTCCCTAATCCCTAGATGGCTTCCAGAACACTTTTCATCCAACCAAAGAATGGTTTGGGTTGAAGGGACCCTTAAAAGGGTCTGGTCCAACCCCTCTGTGAGGAGCAGGGACACCCTCAACCAGACCAGGGCCGGTCCCATCCTGCTGCTGTGGGGCTGGGGAGGGGACAGGGGGGCTGTGGCATCACCTGCCTGGGCACAGGTGACCCCAAAACACCTTCTCTGTCCTAGATGAGCTGCCCTACCTGCGCTGCCCCCTCCACACCATCCTCAAGCTCACTCCTGTTGCCTACGGTAAATACTGGCTTTATTTTCATTTTTTCCCCTGGTTTGTGTGTGTGGATCTGATGGGCAGGGCTGTGTCCCTGTGTGGCAGCACCTGGCCATGCTGTAAAAGGGAATTATAAACAGGTTATTACCTGGTTAACATATAAAAGGTTAACATATGAAAGGGTTCTGGGGCATGGGGGTGTTGGGGGAACAGTGGGGAGGGAGATGTGGGGGTGAAGGGTGTTCTCCCCTGGCCTCTCTTGTAAACAAGTGGTAGTTGTGGGTTTTCCCTGTGGATGAGGGAGGCTGTTTGTGCCTCCAGATTTGGGGTGCAGTCAGTAAAAATGGCTTTTCTGTTCAGACCTGTAGCCCAAATAACCCAGGGCTGTGCTCTCACAGTCAAAGCCACAGAGTAGTTAATTCTGTAAAATTCTGTTCATAGGGTGAACCGTGTATTTATTTATGAGCTGGTTTACTTTAAAACAATAAATTTATTCCTGCTCACTTTCCATGCTGTTTTCAATATTAAAAAAAAAAAAAATTGCTTATTTAGTAAATTACTCATAAAAACTCCTCTTCCTTTTTGGTAAAGGTTGTAAAGTGGAGACCATAACCCTGAATGTGGAAGCAGTGAACACCCACCGTGACAAACCCTCCCTGAACTCAGTAAGTCTTGGTGCACACAGCTGGCTTTTTACACCTTTTGCAAAAATAAATCACTGAACTGAGACTCCTAAGCACCTGCTAGAAATGGTTGATGGGCTTTCAGTGAGCAGAAAGACTCACTTCATAATAACCCCCAAAAGCAGAATTAATTGTAGGCAGAATTAATATGCTTCCCAAGCCAGGGGGGGAGATTTTTCCAGAGCTATTGTAGGAAGCAGAATGGACAAACTTAGGACATAGATTTTTAAATTCCAGGTCTCGTTCTCAGTTTTCAATGAGGTGTTTGTTGGTGGTGCTTGTTCATATTAATTGTGATGATTTCAAAAAGACTTGCCAAAAGGTTTAAAGTGGATTTTTCTCCTTGTCTTGATGGGTTTTCTCTCTCTGAAATCCTCTCCCATTACTTAAATAACTGTTTGACCATCTACCTTGTTCAGCAAAGTATGGAACTTGTTAAATCCATGAAAGTTGCTGCTATTTTAGGTTCTTGCTTTTGCAAACCCTCTTTTGCAGAGGGACTGGTCTGTCAGGGAATGCCTCAGTCATTACCTCTAATTAGCTCCCCCAATTAAAGAGCACAAACCAGCTCTGCTGGGCTGGTTCACAGGGGATCTAAATACATCACATTTCAAGGGGTTTTGGTATATTTAGGCTTTTAGCTGCCACTTGTTGTATTTTATAAAGAGCTATTGGGCTGATTGCCTGGGATATGGTTATTTTTTTGTCCCTGATGCCGAGGGAGTGGAGAAACTGGGAACCTGCAGCTGTGGCTGGAGGGTTTGTGGAGCTCAGTCCAGCTGAGTGCAAATGCTAAAAATAAGGATACTCAGCAAGATTTCTGTGACTGGTCCCGTGCTGGTGGTTTCCAGTTGGGCACTGTCCCTGCTCATGGCAGGGGACAGGACTAGATGATGTTGGAAGGTCCTTCCAACCCAAACCACTCTGGGATTTATCACTTTTGCAACTCGTGTGTGATCCCTGAGTTGAAATAATTGGAAAACTTGGAGGTTATTTCTGTTCTTTGCTTTGCTTGGGCATCACTTCTGCTTTGGGGGAAAAGAAACACAGTGAAGGGAGAGGCTTCTATTTGCTTATTTTTTTTTTTGCCCTTCCTTTAAATTGATCGATAAATAAATAAATAAATCCCCCAAACCCAAACAAACCCAGACAGAGCCACCTAAGCAAAACAAAAATGCCAAAAGGAAGTAAAACTGCTAAAAAAAAAGCACTTTCCAGTTGTCTCCAAGCCGGATTTAGTTGTTTCCAACACTGGTGCTCAGCTGGGGGAGGCACAACCCGGAGTGGGGTCACCGAGCCACTGCCCCACTGACCAGAGATTTGGGGCGGGGATGCCGGAGGTGTGTGATGTGCTTTTAAACTGTGGTTCCCCCCTTTTCATTCCTTGTGTGATTCCTTCCATCTGGGATCCTCAGAGGGAGCTCCCCAGCAGCCAGAGCCCTGTCAGGATGAGGAGGAACAGCTTTACCCCGCGGGCCAGCGCGGACACGGTAGAGCGCCCGCGGCACCACAGCCTTGGGAGCAAACCTCTCGACCTGCTGGGGCCTCTCCCATCCCTGGAAGCTCGAGATGGGGCTGACCAGCTGCAGCTGGAAGTCAGTGTCCAGGTGGTACCTTCCCTGTGCTCCCCCTCCCCACCACCATCCGGGCTGTGCGTGGTCCTCTCTGAAGTCCAGACCGTTCCCGGGGTGTTGAGCGCTGTCTCTGCATGGAAATCATCCTGGATTGGACTCCCTTCACAAAAAAAATCACAAAAAACAACTCCCACTAAAATGTGAACATCCCCCTCCCTCCATGAAACTAAAATTCTGGTGCCCCAGGCTTTCAGAATCAGGCTCTGTGCAGGCAAGTTTCCCTCAGTGCCACAGGGTGGTTAATTCTGGGTAGGATCTTGCTTTCTGGCTAAAACCTGATTGGAAGGAGTTACAAATACCCTCTTTGTCCTGATTTTTTTTTTACTTCAGCCAAGTGTTGCTCCAGCCCCAGAGCCACTTGGTAGGAAATCTTTGCCTCTGGGATTTTATTGGTGCCCATTTCCCTGCAGATCCCAACGTCAGCAGCCTCTTGAGCAAAGTCTGGGCCCTTTGGGTGCCCAAATTGCAGCAGTTTGAGGTTATAAAATACTCCTGGATATTTTTGAGGTTGGAGTTTTCCAAGCTCTTCAGTGAGCCCAGCTTCTTGTTCTCCTCCCTGTTAGCAGAGTAAGAGCCCAGGGAGTAAAAGAAGGGGTGATACAACATCAGTGTTTTCATACTTGGTGAGGCTTGACATGGGCATCCCTAAAATCCCAGGGCTCCAGTGGGAAGTGGGCTTTGTGTTGGGGTGGGTTTGTCCCACAGCAGGTGTGGATGAGGAGCCTGGGCTGGAGAGGACCCAGACAGCTCATGGTCTGAATTTGGGGGTGTTTCCAGCTGGGCAGTCCCAGGCTGGGGATCCCCAGCCCAACTTCTCCCAGGTTGCAGTTGTGATCTGGAAGCCCTGACAGCTCTGGGATGGAGGAGTATTTAGTCAGCCCTGGGTTCTGGGGCTGTGAGGGCTGTAGGGATTGTGCTGTCCTGGGATCTCTTGCCTGAATGGAGCCCTTGGGATGAGCAGTGGAGTGAGGAGGTGTCCAGGTGCTGCAGCACATTGTCCATGCCTTGTATCAGCTCCTGCTGTGATACAAGCCTGCCCTGGGCTAACATGAAATTTTGGGGATGCTTCACTTCTTCCCTCATTTGCTTTGCTGCTTTTACTCTTTAAATCTCCTTTAAAATGCACTGTGAGCTCTCCTGTGCTTCTCTCTTTCCTTTGCAGCCTCCAGTGGGAAATGCTTCCCCCTGAGAACCACTGAAAGCAGCTTGTGTGTGCTCTCTTTTGGGTTAGTAAGTAGGATTTCTCTTGATTAATGTTGCATGGAAACCACTTTGGGCAAAGGCAAATGCAGGGAGCAGAAGGGAATTTTTTGCTGTACAAAATCTGCCTTTAAGGGGGACAACAGTGGGGGAGGAATATATTGCCCTGCTGAGCCCACTGATCCAGGGGCTCCAACTGGGTTTATTGGTGCTTTTGGTGGGTGTTTGAGCCAGAGCTTGTTCCATCCCTGGGCCAGGGCATGGGATGGCTCCAGTGGTGCTGCTGGGCTGAGCCAGGGGAGCAGTGCAGGGTCCCACATGTGTCTCCCCTCTGCCTGGGTGTGGTGCTGGTTGTAGGGATTTCACAGGAGGCACTGGAATGTGGTCTGGGGGGCTTTTGGGAAGATCCTCTTGCTCCTGGTGCTGTGGTGTCAAAGGGAGAGCTGGGATTAGGGCAAGAAAGTAAAGCAGTAGCTGGCTCAGTTTCTAGATATCAGGGTTGAGAGAGGATTCCAGTCTGGGAGGGGATTTTCTCCTTCCTGTTCCACCCTGGCAGGGTGGTCCCCATGGAGAGGGGCCAGAGGATTTGGCCCCTCTCTGCCAGGTGAGGAAGGCTCAGCCTCTGCCTCTGCACCTGAGAAACTCCTGCTGGGATTAATTTGGCTGTTTGGATATATATCTTTTTGTTTTATTTGCATTTTGCCCTTGAAGTGAAACTCGTCCAACAGTTTTCTCAATGTGGCTGTTCTGTCTCTCTCTCTCATTGGTATTTACAAACATATTATGGCACACAAGCCATGCCCAGAGAAGCTGAGGCTGCCCCATCCCTGGAAGTGTTGGACAGGGCTTGGAGCAACCTGGTCTAGTGGAAGATGTCCCTGCCCATGACAGGGGGTTGGAATGAGATGATTTTTAAGGTCCCTTCCAACCCAAACCATTCTGGGTTTCTATAATTTATTTTATTTTATTTTTTTTCAGTTGTAAATAGAAAATATGTAGGGTCTGGATTTCCTGCCTGGTGGATTTTAAGTGTTGATGCCTTGTGTTAATTGTCAGCAAAATGCCTCCAAAGCTGTGCTATTTTTTTTTTTCTTTATTGCAAAACAGAGCTGGTCAGGTAATGACAAATTGCAGATGCTGATTCACACATGGGTTTGCAGTCCCAAAGTGCTGCAGCTGAGCAGGCACTTGAGCCCTGTGAGGATTTTCTGTGCCCTGAGACATTGCATGAAGGGCAGCTGTGGGAAATCCAGGCTGTGATTTGTGCTGACCTGAGTGTGTTCCTGCTGCCTGTTGGACCCTGAATGAGGCAGTGGAAGAAATTTTATCAAAACTATAAGTATTTATTGTGGTTAATATGCAAAATGATTGCTGTAATGGTTCTGGTGTTGTTCTGGAAGTGTGTTTTCCTATGGAGAAGGTAAATAAAAGTGAGTAACCAAGCTGCTTCATTACTCCTGAGGTTCCCCACTGAGCTTGTGTGATCTCAGGCTGTGATGGGGGGCTTGGCAAGAGGATAAAGGGTGATGCAAAGTGTGAAACAGCTCGTTGTGTGTTTGGCTGGGAGTAAATAAGTCAATGCTCAGGTGGTTCCTGTCACATAGAGCAATTCCCTGGAGCTGGTTGGATCCTCCTGTCAGTGTGTCCGTCTATCCCCAGCGCTGAGCTGAGCTGTCACCTGCTTTACCATCTCCTGCCTTCCTTGGTGTGACCTCAGCTCTTTATCTTTTCTTTGCAGAGAATGACCCGTTTAACAGTGTAGAGGTTCATGCTTTCCCCTTGGATCCTGCTGGGAATTCCATGGCCAGGAGGAGCCCTGGGACTGGAGCATCCCCGGAGCACAGTGAGCCCCTTCGGCCAGTTCTCGCCTTGAACTGAGTTTTTAGAGTTTTTAGAGTGTGTCTTTTTGCCTGTGTCTTTTCTTTCCAAATGCTGGAATGTCTGTCCATGAGATTGGAGAAAATTCATTTATGGAGCTTTTTCAAGCTGCTTTTAATGAGCCAACGTATCCCTGGGCTTTTGGGATTTTTCCTCCTGGTTAGATGCCAAAACTAACCACAGTGTGATGACAAAAGAGTCATGTTCTTACTGGCTGAGGCAGCTTTTCTTTGGAAAAGGCACTACCAGACAAAATCCCCGAGTTTTTATTTATCTGTTACCATTTCCAAGTTATTTCCAAGTTCAAGCACAATTATTGTGTCGTTCAGCCACCCAAAGAGCTCCAGTTTAACTTTGCTTCCAGAACTGCTGATGTGTGTCCCCCCAGTCTGAGCCTGTTCCTTTGCTTGGGAAGGCTTTTTCTTGGGATGTAACACAGAGCACATCCCATTTCCAGGTCAGCACATCCCACGGGATGCCTCCTGTGAGGGACAGATGGGAGTAAAACCTCCTTGTCCTTCTCTGGAAGCAGCACAGCTACCAGTGCTTTTAAATCCCACCTCAAGCCCTACTTTAGGTTTGCATCCTGACCTAAAACTCATCTTCTCTCTCATTTTTCCTGCATTTTGTGGATGGTTTATCCCTTAACCCCTAAAACATGGCTCTGCTTAGTGACTGGGAACAGTGGAGCCCTTGAGCAGGGTTTGCAGGAAGCACAAGATTTTTACCAGTTGGCTTTTTAATATACCAAATTTTAGGCCCACAACAAGCTTTTAGCTTGCTTGTGAATCAGCTGTGAATGTTACCCATGTCTAATGCTGCCTTTCACATTTTAAGCTGGTTTTTTTAGTGTTTGGAGCACACGTGGTGCAGCTGTGTCTGTCTGTGTCTGACTTAAATCCCCCTCAACCCCCAAATTTATAGTTTTCTCCCTCAAGCCTTGACTTCCATTTTGCCAAACTCCCATTTTACCCCACGCCAGCTGTTCTTGCCATAAGGGCAAAACCCTCAGGTTGGATGAAGAAAGGAGTGTTTGGGTACAGAGCAGGAGGCTGTTCTGGACCTGCTGTTTCCAGTTGACTCCAGGATTTATCCGAGCAGTTCTGAGACCCAGAAGTTGCTTATTTTAAATGTGTAAATAAATGCTGGATATACCCATAGTTAGGGAAGTCTGTGCCCTGGCTGTGGAGGAGCTCAGCAGCCCCGAAACCTGAGGCATACCTGAGCATTTTGAGCTCAAACCTGGTTGTTTTAAGCATTCCCAGAGCTTTAATTTGATAAAACTGAGTTAGAGAAGACCAAGGCACTAATCCTGACCCCTTAGGATTCCTGAGGAGCAGAAGCACATCATAATCTAAAGCAACTGTGCCACAGGGAGAGGAAATTTGGTGGCGAGAAATTGAATTTTAGTGGTTTTGCTCCTCAGGCTTTTCCCCCCCAGGGGGCAGGTTTGCTTCAGCCATCCAGCCTTGGGTTTTAAACGTTTTCGTGCTTAGGAATAAGCTAGAAAAAAAAATAAAAATGTTGAAGGAAGAGATTTAGAGCCTGTCTGTGATAGTTTTTTTGCTGTCACGCTCTGAACGCACAAACCCGCCCGAGTTGGGCTGGCAGCTCCCACCAAAAAACCTCCTGCTCTGTGTGGGGAAAAAAAGAAAAAGGGGTAGAAAATGTACTGTAGGGTGTTTACGCACAACATGCTGTGATAACTTGTTAAAGAGTTGATTATGTTCGTTGTCATCGAGTAGTTAATGATTGTAAGGAGACAAAAATATATATTTTTACCCGCTGGGATTTGTGAATGTCGCTGTTTGTGTGTTGGTGGTTGTGGCTTTTTGTGTTTTTTTAATCACTGCTAAAAAATCAGGGTTAACTGCTAAAAAATCAGTTTGGATCAGTGGCTGTGGGGGTCCCTTATTCCCATGGAGTGGGTCCTTGTTTTGGCCATGGGATGGAGCTTCAATCCTTCCCTGCTCACAGCAGTGTTTGTGCCTCGGTGCTTTAATTAAAGCCTGACTTGAGCCTTTTCCTCCTGCATTTTAGCCTTTAAAAGGCGTGTGTTTTTAAAACACAGGTGTCCAGAGCAGAGCAGCAGCAGATTTGTGGTCAGATCATTGCCCTGAGGTTGAATTATACCCACTGTGCCAGGTCCTGCTGAGCCCTGAGTGCAGGGCCAGGGTGATGCCAGTGAGCCCACATGTCTCCTGGCAGGTGCCTGTGCCAGGTATTTCCTTGAAATCACCTGATTTCCTTGGCACTGGGCGTGCAAATACCCCAGACAAACAACAATTGCACAATGGGGTTGGGGTTTTTTTTCGATACTTTTGATTGAACAGGATTTAGCAGCAGCCTGTGCTGTCAGGGGGGAGCAGAGCTGGTGTCGTGGGCTGGGCAGGTGGAGGTGTGGTGGGTTTGGAGGTGTGAATGTTGGCCTGGCACCTTGGAGAGCATTTTACCATGAGGGGGGTGTTTTCTGCAACCCTGTGATTTTTCTGCCCATGTGTTTGGTGGTGGTGGCTGCTGTCACCTTCAGTGAGCAGTGGCGGGGCCACCCGTGGGACTAATGGGTCACTGCAGAGAAAAACGATCACTCTGGCAAAAAACCTGCTCCATCTCTTCTGCCAGCAGTGGGGAAAGCTGGAAAATGGGCAAAAAAAATGCTTAAACCCAGCCTGGGTAGCTTATTTGTGTACACTGGCTGTGACCTTGGAGCTGCCACCTCTGCCAAGCATCCCCTTCCCGGCAGCGGGTGATGGTGGGGAAGCCTGGCCCTGGTGCCAGGTGGGCAAGGAGCAGCTGTGGGATGAGAGGCATCATCAGCAGCATGGCCAGGACCCACCTGGCCTGGGGAGATGTCCCCAACCCTCACCCTGTGCCCCTCTGGAAGGTGCTGGGGGGGCACTGCCGGTGCCACCTCCCCCTGTCCCCGCTGCTCCTCGGTCCCTGAGCACTGTTGGCAGGCTGCCTCTCTATTTAGTGTTTGCTGATGTGGATGTCACCCATCTGCTTGTAAACTTCCCTGCTCTGCTGCCTTCTAATGTGGCTTTTTTTTAGGTTTAAAAAGCTGCAGTGTATGTCAGCTTGTGCTGTATGTTGTGTACTCTGTGCACTTGGGCATAAAGAGCCATCAGCCTCTATTTACAATAAAGAGATTTAAAAAAAACACAGATCATTTCCTCTGTTCTTTTCCATTGTTTGCTTTAACTGCTCACAGTGTGCTGGTTTTCTGATACAGTGGTGAATTCAGGGAGTCTCTGGAATATGTTTGGAGAAAGAGGGTCTGCAGGGACGGGCAGGTGTCCCTGGGCTTTGGGATTTGAGTTGAAAATGGGGAATCTTACACCCTGGTGCTGTTCCCCTTCCCTCATCATTAAGGGTGTTTTTATTGGAGCTATTGGAATTCAGATATTCAGGGTTTTTATTGAGCTGTTAAGGCAGGAATGTTTGTTTTTAAAGCACATCTCTTTTTTTAGGAGAAAAAAAGACATCAAGAGGAGCAACTGGTGTGACTCTGATTTCCAGCTGGAAACCAGCTGGTCCTAAAGGGACCAAAACTCCTTTTATCCTGTTTATGCCACTCCAAGCTGTGGGTTGAGGAGGTCTCAGGGTTGTTCAGCAGCTGCCAGAGCAGGAGGTGGTTTTTTTGTGTGGCTGATGCCCACAACACCCTGTGCAGATGCTGAAAGACCTCCTGTGTGCCCCTGGGGGACCTGCTGATGTTTGGGCTCACAGACTGGCTTGTTCTGGGCCATTTGGAAAAATAGAAATCCGGGAAGCCTATGTTTGTGTTTGTGATTAACTGGATTCCTGTAAATATTTTGTAGATGTCAGTGCCTGTTGTGAGCAAGTCTCTGCTCATGCAGCCTCCTGTTGTGTTCTGCAGAGAAGGAACTAAACCAGGTGAACTTCAGGTGAACTTCAGCAAGGTAATATTAATATACCCCACTCAGGGTAGGGATGTGGTAAATTGTTCAGGCAAAACCCTGTCAGATTTGGTAGAACAAACAAATACCTGCAAGAAGCACAACCTGGGGTAAAAAGTCCATCACCAACTTGATGGTGACTCCAGCCTGGATGAAGCTGTGGAGCCAAAGGAGCAAGTGGTGACAACTTCTACCAAAAACTGGTGCTGGAAAAGGACCCACCAGCAAGAGCTGGATTCAGGAACAGCTTGCAGTGAGCTGAAGGGCATCTGAGTTTTCATCAAGGCCAGGTTGGATGGGGCTTGGAGCAACCTGGTCTAGTGGAAGGTGTCCCTGCCCATGGCAGGGGGTGGGACAAAATGAGGTTTAAGGTTCCTTCAGCCAAGCCACTTACTGATTCTGTGGCCCTGGGTGTTTGGCTCTGAGTGATGCTCCCTGGGGCCTCACACCCTGCTGAGCTCCAGCTGCTGGGGCTTTCATGGGAAGGGGTGGAGCTGGTTGAAGAAACCACTTTTTGAACGCTGGCCATGGGCTTCTGAGGTCAGAAGGGAGGAACTCATGGTTGATGTGTCCCTCTTGAGGAGACCCCCACAGCATGCCTGAGGTCCAGCACTGGCTGTGTGCCATTGCTGCCCGGTGGGGCAGCTCAGCAAGGATCATTTCAACAAAGACTTGGCAACTCCACACAATAAACCAAACAATTTCAACATCTGCTTGGGTTGCATTCAGTTTTTCTCGTGTTTTGCTTTGTGGGTTGAATAAACTACTTCCTTCTTGCTCGGGAGGAGTTAATGATTTATGGGTCAGCTGGCATGACCCCGGGTTCTGCAGAATTCTGCAGAAATCTTTTCTCCATGGAGCCATAGCTGAGCATGTAGGCGGATCATGACTCCTCCTTTAGCTGTGCCTGGAGCCAGGGGACTGGATGGGAACAGTCACTGCTTTGTCTTGGAAGTGCTGAAGGCTCCAGGTCTCCATCTCCTGCCTCCACACCTCCAGGTAAGACAACTCGGAGCCACAGAGCTTTAAGTGTTGCTCTTGGGAACTGGGTTGGAGCTTTAGTGCAACTCCAGCAGGCACAAAGATCAGTAAATTAAATCAAATTATGCCAGGAGTTGTAACTGGGATTGAAGGAAAGGCAGAGGAATGAAACAGCCAAGGGAAGTGTTGGGTTTAGGGCAGAAAGCATCAAGGTAGAGCCTTGTTTCCAGGAGGAAGGCAGGTGCTCAGACCATCTGTAACACTGGGAGAGTTTAGGCTCAAAAATGATCCTGGGTAATACAGAGAGGACTCTTACTGATCTCTAGGGCTGGCAGGTACTAACCTGGCAAACTGGAGTTAAATTCCATTTGGTAAAGCAATTTGGTTTGACTGACTTGTATGTTTTATAGCTTTACTCAGTTAATATTTGCACAAAATTGATGTAACTTTTACTTCTCTCCCTCTGAGGGTAATTTATTGTTAGGGGACTGTACTGGTGACTCCAGCAGGATTTAATCTGACTAGGAATTTACTTCCAGGAGATTTAGCACTAAAAATAGAGCGTTCTACCCATAAGATACATCTCAGGGAACTTTTTCCACAAGGCACAGACAAAGTCATGGCCCTGCAAGTGTTACTTTTGTTGACTGGCTGGGAAGAACAATGATGGCAATATGGTGGGTTTAAGTTGAAGCTGACAAACTATGAAGTGTTTATTCTGTGGTTTAAGTGAAGATATTAGTCTGTCTTGGGGTTTTTTTTGCTTCCAGAAAAGGAATTCTGCTCCTGTCCCTTCAACTCCCCAGCCACCACTGCAGGCACAGCTCGGGGATGGAGAAATAAGACCTGTTCACTTACCCTCAGTGTAAATACCCCTCTACTATTTTTACAGAGATTTGGCCCAGGGAAAGAATGTGGTAACATCTGTGGGATCTCCAGACAGGAATAAACATGTCAGCTCTGGAGCCGGGGAGGCAGCAGGATCGCGCTGCTGTCCTCGGGTCACTCCTCACTGCTGCTCTCATTGTGACTGTCCACAGTAAGTGAACGAGTCCCTCAGGATAAACTAAGATCCCTTGAAGGACAACCTTCTCCTGGCTTTCACAAGGCTTGGATCCTTCTCTTTTCCTCATTGCCTTTGCGTTTCAAGAGCGTTGTAAATCGTTGTGATCAGAATCCATCTTCCTTTGCCTTTTTTTCCACTCCCTGTGGAAAGTAGATGGAAAATTATTCTAGCTGAGAAAGTGCAATAATTATTACTAGCTGGGGAGGAAAAAAAAAAAAGCTTAATCTGGACTTTGTGGCCAGCCTTTGAAACTTCTGGGTGAGGAGCAGGACCTGGAGGGGTGATGCTCCTCCTAGTCCCTGCCAGCCACAGTCACAGGCTGCACTTCTCCTCTTTGCTTTGAGGAGTCTTTGGGCACTGAAATGTCCTCAGAGTGAATCAGGCCTGAAATCCCCCTGGTTTTCCTCCCAGCCCTTTTCTGATGGAGCTCCTGTCCGTAGGTCTCTGCGATGCTCCGCCCCGTCTCCAGTCTGCAGAGCTCAAGGAGCAGTACCAGAGCTCTGCCTCATTCCCCTACAATTCCAAGGCAGAATACGTCTGTCGTCCAGGTTATGTGAGAAATCATCATGTCAGTAGTGTCCTTGTTTGTGGCCTAAACGGGAGGTGGCACGGATCAAGGGACATATGTACAGGTGAGTGTATTTTGGGTTGACTTGGTCTTCCTGGTCTAGTGAAAGGTGTCCCTGCCTGTGGGAGGGGGTTGGAACAAGATAATCTCTTAAGGTTCCTTCCAACCCAAACCATCCTGTGGTTCTATGACTTCTGATGGTTTTTGTTTGCTGATGCTGGAGCAGTATCCAAAGTATCCATAGTGAGCCCAGGGGATGGTGGGCAGTGAGTGACCTGACATGAAGCACTGGTTTTATTCCACTAAGTACTGGCAGTGATGGCAGGAGCTGAAATCTGTTCTGATGCTGGCTGTGTTTCACTGCTGACTCAAGGGATGCACTTTGTAACTCTTGGGTCAAAAAAAAAAAGTATTTGACCTGCAGTTGGAGAATCCTTTAGTTGTGAGGAGACAACTAAACCAGTGTTACTGCAAACCCCGCTCAGGCTGCAGAGGCAGCAGGTCATGATGCAAGTCTCGCCAGCATCGTGAAACATGGAATAATTTAGGGTTGGAGGGGAAATCTGGAGGTTTCTGGTCCATCCCTTTGCTCAGTATTGGAGGAGTCTTTAAGAAAGAGCTGACTGAGTGCTGTTGTCCCCAGCCAAGCATTGCACCTACCCCGGGGAGCCGCCCAACGGCAGACTCGTCCTGGGAGAGGAGCTCAGTTTGGGTTCCTCAGTGAACTTCACCTGCAACACTGGGTAAGCCAAGAGCACCTGGGGCACAGGGCCTCTTCTTCTCCAGCTGTTTTTCCAAAGTTTTTCCCCTCTAGATTAAAGCCTGTGCTGTCAGAAGCCTCGCCAGTGTAGGTAATTGCAGACCCTGATTGAAATATCTTTTAAACTTTGAGAGCTTTAGGACTGACTGAGTGTCTTAAACTCCTCCTTTGAGGCAGCTCTTCACAAACTTGTGTTCACTCTCCTGGCTCTTTCCAAACCATCCCAATGTTTCAGTATCTTTTTGAAGAAAAGGCATGAACACTGAACTCAGAGCTGTAGGGATGGCTACCCCCAGCTGATAAGGTAGATGTTTTTTCTTAGAAACATGTCATTTTTTTAGTTTAAAAAATGCTTTTGCCAAAAGCCAGCGTGTCCTTGAAAAAAATGACACTGATGGCCAATTTCTGATTTGCTGTAATTATGAAAAATAAGCCCAAAGCATCCTGATGGCGATGTTATTGGTGATAAATCAGAACTAAATTTGCCAAGCAATTCCCTCTCCCCTGTTCCACACAGGTACAGACTGCTTGGAAATTCGAAGATTACTTGTGTGATTAAAAATGGGGCTGTTACGTGGGACAGAGATATTCCCATGTGTGAGGGTAAGTAGAGTTCCTTAATTATCTATTATCTATCCTTTAATTATCTGGAGTGTGACTGGGGCTGGATAAAGAAGCTGTTGCGTTGCTCTGCTGAGGATTTTGGCATTTCAATGCGTGGTGGAGCCTGGAAAGACATTTTTAATTTGTGTTTTCCTTCCTGCATCATCCTGCAGAAATATTTATTCGCTCTCTGGGAGCGAGGCAGCTGCATGTGAGACTGGGATATCACAAAACCATTCAGTGCCTGGTCAGAACTGCTGCCTT